CAAGAAAAAGAAAGAAAGGTAGACTAAAAAGCAGGAAAATACGGGTTGCCTCCCGCACAGCGCTGATTTATCTAGGTCCCGTACGACCCTCTTACCAAGATAAAAAATTAGGATCCTTGGCCTACCGCTTGATCGGGTGGTTTCCCGGTTGAGCGGTGTTTAGACCACGACGCGGTTTCCTGACATATCCTGTGGGACGCCAATTCACCTTATCCGGTGGATCCTCCTTGTCATGAACTGGGGGTTCCTTACTACTACTCACAAGAGACCCTTTTTGACCGATGGTTGCTTCAAATTATCACTGGATTGAGCAATTGCAACTCGATTTGGTGGAACACTTACCGTAGGCTCAATTTCCACAACTTGCTTGTTTATTTTCACCTTCTCATCTTCAAAGCCAAGACCGACAGTATAGAAGGCTCTTTCTATTACATCAACTTCCTTTTGCCATTTGTCTATTTCATTTGTAGAAGATGCAACACAAGATACCGCCTCCGAGGGATCTTTTACAAGAGCTTGGGGCTTATTAGAACAATTATTCACCACATTAACACTAAAACACTTCTCCTCTATCATGGGGCTTTTAGGGGTATTATTCAAATTGAAAGTAATTTTATCGTCCTTTACTAATAGTGTCAATTTGCCACATTTCACATCTATAATTGCTCCTGCAGTGTTAAGGAATGGTCTACCCAAAATAATTGGGATTTGCATATCCTCAGCCATATCAAAAACAACAAAATCCACAGTTATATAAAATTTACCTACTCTAACAAGGACATCCTCTAAAACACCTAAGGGGTATTTAAAAGAACGGTCGGCCATTTGTAGAGTAATATTAGTAGCTTTTAATTTACCCATATTCAGCTTGGAACACATAGATAATGGCATTACACTAACACTAGCACCCAAATCATATAATGTATTATCAATCATTAGATTGCCAATATGACAAGGGATAGAAAAACTACCCGGATCTTTCAGTTTAGGTGCAGATTTATTTTGTAGTACGACATTACATTCTGCAGTAAAAGCGACTGTCTCTACCTCACTAATAGATTTGTTTCTAGTTAATATTTCCTTCATGAATCTAGGAATTTGTGTAATTAGTTCTGTGAATGGAACTATGCTGGCCTGTTGACGGGCTTGTAGAGTAGAAGAAATCTGCGTAATTTGATTATCTACAATTTTATTATGTGCTATGATCGAATCAATTTGGGCATCTCTACTCTCCATGTGCTTTTGCATACTAGCCGGCATCGCTCTAATTTCTGCTAAAGCGTGGTAATATTTCTGCTGTGTTTGTTATGTTACCTATGATTGTTGTGGAGGTGGCGGATTTTGAACATTGATGCTCTGGTAAGAAAGATATGGATGATTCCGGAATCCAGGATTATAGGTGATGGAGTATGGGTCATTCTGCCTATAAGCTTGAAAGGCATTGACTTGCTCCACGGAATTTCTGCAATCTTGCTCCCAATGACCTATAATTCCACAATTTTCACATAAAGCCTCATTAGAATTATTATTAATTGCAGAAACATTAGCTATATTTGCAGCACTAAGATTATCTAATTTTTGGCAAATAGAGGTTAATTGAGCTTGTAAAAAGGATACAGAGTCTACACTATGTTTCCCCTTGTTAGCAAAGCCTCTAGGATACCCATATTGGGGATTATGGATTGCCATATCTTCTGATGAATTTCCAATCCCATTGTAAAAGGCTTGGATTAACTGCCACTGTGCTAAATTATGGTGGGGACACTCCCTCTGCAGATCCTTGAATTTTTCCTAAGCCTCATACAAAGTCTCATCTAGCTCTTGGGCAAAGTTTTGAATTGCACTTCTTAGTAAAGCTGTCCTCTCTGCAGGGTAATATTTATTATAAAAATTTAAAACAAGAGTCTCCCAGTTAGTTATACCAAGTGCAGTTCTATTTAATCCATTATACCATAATTTGACTTTTCCACATAAAGATAAAGGAAAGAGAATCCCCTGATTAAGTCCTGTGTGACCCCTGATGGTATTACAATATTGACAATAGTCTACAATATGAAGATTTGGGTCTTCACCCTTAGCTCCACCGAATTGCTTCCTTTCTATCATCGTGATAAATTGGGGTTTAATCTCAAATTGTACCCCATCAAGAGCCGGAGTGGGAGTAAGGTGTGGAAAATCTGTAAGCGTCGGCTGCGAATAATCACTGAGCTTCTTAGGTACCGCAATCTCTGATTCTGAATCTTTAGAATCACTAGAATCAGTGGAGGGTCTCAGCGATTATTGTTATCACCAACACCCGCCAGGATTTGCCTGTAAAAATTCTTTTGTCTATGGAAAGAGCGTTCGATCTCAGGATCGAATGGGATATAACTTAAAATGGAACACCTGGGCATAAACAAAGAACTTAAAAGCAAATATGACAAGAAGAAATAACCTAGACTACAGAAAACAATAAGAAATAAAAATAAAGCTGTTTCCCCGGCACCAAATAAAGATCAGGCCTAATCTAGTCACAGTCACAGCATTAAATCAATCAATAGGAAATTAATCTAGCATTAACAATTAACAACAATAAATTATCCCTTCATATTAATTATAGATCCCCATAAACCCTAGAATTAAACTACTGAGATATAATTAAAACCAAACTAATCAAAGCAATTAAACAAGACATGATGAAAGAAATAAACTAAATAGCTGAAATTAAAGTAGAAAAAATCGTTACCAAAGTAATCGAAATTAAGGAGTTGAATTAAGAACAAAATAGAGAACAAAGTTGTAGAGAGAGAAACTAATCTAAAACTATGTAGAGAGAGAAAGTCTAAGAGAAGAGAGGTACTAATCTAAAGCATTAAAATCGTATTTATACTTAAAATAATTACTCCTAATTAAAACTAAGATAAATAGCCGAAATCAGCTCCTAAAAACCTCGCGCCCGATCGGGCGAAGGGCGCCCGATTGGGCCCGCCTTTTTCCCATTATGGCCATCTCTCGCGCCCGGCCGGGCGTGAGCTCGGTTGTGAACTACTCTTCCTCGCCCGGCCGGGCGCGCCTTCGGGCAGGAGCTTACTTGGCCGGGCCGGATACTTGGGCAAGTTTAGACTTTTTGATTGGGCTCCGATTCTTCGGCCCAATCCGGATTTCCTGCTCGGTCCAAATGCCTCGGAATCTCAAATGCTAAGCCCTTAACCACCGGTTCGATGACTCTAACCGGCCCTGGGCTATAAAAACTGGTCGTGCTCCTCCAATACTCGTAGTTGCTCCATAAAAATACCTGGAAAATGCTCCAAAGGTGCAAATCCCTACAAAAGTCAACCAAAACTACGAAAACACTAGAAAACACCAATTAGTAATAAAAGTGGCTCTAAATAGCCAAAAATACTACTAATTATGACCAAGGGGCGGGGGTAAAATACTATATAAAGTGGACATATCAGAACACTATTCTTAGAATTTTATATATCTTAAAGCTTGAATCAACATTTTTATTGCACATTATAATATCTTAATATAAGCTGGTTTCTTTACAGCTTAATAGTTCTTACAACATCTTATATGCGAGCAATTGAAAGGACATAATAATACAATATGACAACAGTTTTGCATGTTGGTTATTCATTTTGGTGTTTGTTAAGAACATTAGGCATCACACCAGGTTCCAAGACAGCCCAAAATTATTAATTGGAATTGATTTGGAAATTAGTTTACTTATAGTGAATATAGGGCTGATCACGGATTAGATATCCGATCCAAAATTGGATTTCGGATGATATCCGTATCCGATCCGTAAATTTCGAATATCTGAAAAATTCGGATATCTGAAATTTTCGGATCGGATAGTCCGGACATCCATCCGAATACTTTACTACAAGGGTTTTTGAATGGCAAAATTGATTTTTTTTTACCCTTTTTTTCCCCTCATGTTATTGACTTGTGGACCTTTTTAACTAATAACTATGTAGACAATTACTTTATAACCTGAACAAAGAGTGAAAGAAAGCTAAAATAGAGTTGAAATTTTGTCTAACAACCAATTTTCAGAAATTACAAAATAATAAAATTATACGCATTACACAACCTGCAAAATGCAAACTAATTCAAGAGAAAAATCTAGCACTTGCCGAAGATCTGAGAAGTGAGGGAAGTCGCCGCTTCTGTTGGAGGAGTGAGGGACACGCTGCTTCTGGTGGAGGAGTGAGGGAATCCGCTGTTTCTGGTGGAGGAGTGAGGGAAGCCGCCACTTCTGGTGGAGTGAGGAAAGCTGCCGCCTCTGGTGGAGGAGTGTGGGAAGCCGCTTTTGGTGGAGTGAGGAAAGTCACCGCGAGGAAAGTCACCGCTTCTAATAGAGGAGTGAGGGAAGCCGCTTTGAACGACGGTGAAATATGGGGGTTTCTCATAGAGAAGAGAGAAGAGAGATTCCGGAGATCAGAGAAAAGAGAGGAGAGAGAAGGGAGGAGAGAGAAGAGAGAGGCGGACATGTGAGTGTGAGGGACAAAATATTGAAATTAGGGTAAGCTGAGTTTTTGTCTTTTGGGCATATGAATGAAATTTGAAAATTGAAATATGGTTAAAAAAAAAAAAGTAATTTTCGGATCGGATATCCGATCCGTAATTTTTTTTTGGATCGGTTATCCTAAATTTTCGGGTTGGATGCGGATCAGATTTTCGGGTTATAAGATAATTTTGCTCAGCCCTAGTTGAGTACAAGAACCATAAGGGCTTTTTGTGAAATTTATCTTCATAGTTTGATATGTACATTTTTTCACTTGGCATCAACATCAGCTAACATGTTTTGAGCGTTATGAAGGTCATGGTGGCGATTTATTGATGGGTATTTTAAAAGGAATCCTTAAGCGGATGCTATAACTATTAGTATTTCCATTTTTGTAATTACATAGTGAACCTGTATGACTTATGAGGTTGGTAGCGTTGTTTTATTGGCCAACTTTTCATCTTAGTCTATAGCTAGTTTATTCTCTAAAGTATTTTCTTATTTCCAGGGATGACTGCCCCTCAAGCTGCTGGAGTTATCCATTCTGACTTTGAAAAAGGTTTTATTCGTGCTGAGACGGTAAGCATTCATGATATTCTTCGTCTCAAGGAAAATTTGCTTTGCTAAACTATGCTTAGAAATATGAGAGGTTTGTATTCCTACATTAAGAGACTTAGAGTAGGGAAGCTTAGTAAATACCAGATCCACTCTTCTTCTTGATGCAACAATAATTTTGGATAATCTTGATGAATATATGAGTTTTGGCAACCTAAACATGGAAATCAATTGAAAATAGTTAGAAGTAACATAGATTGTTGAAGCCATGAAGAGAGACATTTAACATAATTGAGAACTTAGGTGAAGTAAAGCAGCACATAATCTTATCAACAAATTGTGTAGGAAAAACCAAAGCAATTATCATCTCATGAATACATCTCCATTCAACTGTAATTTAGGATTTCAGCTGAATCTTGAAACGATGGTCAGTATTTATCTTCTTAATGCCTCAGCATGTCATAATATCCTGCATACAACCCACATGTTCATTGAGATCAACTTCTTACCACCCTGTCCCATATTAATGAGGATAGCAACTCCATTCTTACCCTTATCCCTTTCCAAGTACTAAAGCTTATAACCCCATGGTGCCTTTTCTCTCGCCTTGTATCCGACCCACTTGGTCTTGTGTAGACAATTATGTTAATTCTCCTTCTCTTTATGACCTCTACTAGTTCAACTAACCTCCAATCAAAGAGCCGATATTTCACGTCCAAAGACATTCTACTGCCAGCTTCATTATGACTTTATCTGCATTCGTCTGTCTTGAGGGAATCCTTGCATATTTGACACCACCCCCAAGCACTGGGATGGTGTGTTGCTTCTGGACGATTACCTAGAACTTCTTGCATATCTTAAACTACACCAGCGCGTCACTGAGAAGAGAATGCCCTCACAATATTTAAATTATGTCCATAAGATATGACCAAGTTTTGACGCTGGTTGTCGTAGACCTACAACACTCCTTGAATGCCACAAGGTGACACTCTCAGAGTCACATGTGGGCTACCCAAATCTAATTTAGGATATTGTACCCAAATTGACATGACTTTACAGCTTCTTCTTTAATTCAATGTTAGGTGCATGCTTTGATTGCCATTATTCAATTGACAAGAAAAATGATAACTAGCGGCCAAAATTCTCTCTATTCTCAACAGTTTTAAGTTTGGCAATGAACACTCCCCTGAAAATTACAGCAATCTTATCTACACCAGAATTTTCCATATTCTCCTCATAAATCCTTGCATTAGAATCTAAGGTGAATTTACGCCAATCACATAACAAACAATTGCAAACTTCTAGGAATCCATTTCTTCCTGTATCTTCTAATTCAATTCTAACACTAAATTGTATACACATCATGTTTTAACTGAGCATTATCTATTCATACCATCACTAGGTATTCTATCAGCATTTAGAGTTTAAAATTCAAAACTTGGCAATGGAACAGTAATTTATAATTTATTACTACTTTCAACATTATCTAACCTCTAAGTCGAGTTGCATAATATTTTATACCCATCTGAATCTTTTTCCTCTAAATTAAAAAGTTTCTAAGGCTCATTTGTACTCTATTGCTACCATAATACACAAACTAGATAAAAATTTCATAACAGTATGCGCCAATTTCATTAATACCTTTTACACATAAATTTAAAACATGACATGTCACATCTAACATGAATTAACTATCTATCTAGCAAGATATCACTCATTTTGCTTATTCAAAAGCATTGATATTCACTAAAGATTTTTTATCAATAGTTACAATCATAATCTTATAAGTAAAATTAACTTACCTAATAAGGTGGTGCAAAACAGCAACAGTTACACAAATGTTTGGGTAATTCAAAATCTTAAAATTCTGTATACATTTTTGAACCATTAGTATGGGACATTACAATTATAGCTTGATAGTTTATTCTTTCATCTTTGTTCATATAGTAATTATAACCTCATTGCACCCAAGCAAGAACTTTTTCTCACAGTTCTCTTACATTGGGCTATGATGTAGCATGAAGATAATGTTTAAAAGTATCACTTTTGGCAATTAAAACTAACTTTTGAATGAACATTTAGAATGTCATTAAAGGACTAAAGTTGGCCAATTAAAAGTATCACTTATTCTAAGGGCTTGCTTTATAAATTTTTTTTAATGAATTGCCTTTTTGAAATATCTTTCACCTTTTGTCTTGAATATTCGACCACATGTTTACACCTACATTTTTCCAATTTTTGTTTAAAACAAATTAGGCTGTATTTCACTCATCCTACGTGTATAAGTCAAAATTTCTATTATCAACTATACATCATTTGGGTTTGAAACTCTTGGGATTGAGTATGTACGAAGGAAGTGAATTGGTGAAACGAGAAAGTTGATATAGGTCACATTAGTCTTACCAATTTGGACTAAGCTGTGGTTAGAGAAATTGAGTTCAAAGGAAGATAAAATGATGTTTGTGAAATTAGGGATGAAGTGGAGGTGTGCCCAACTTTGTTTTCCATTAAAATCTTTGACTATAATTTGTTCGCCGTTATTAATAATTCCTCCCTCTGTTTGTCATTTTCTTTTACTTTTTGGGTAGGGATGTTCCTTACTAATTTTAAATCTTTTTCTTTATTCCTTCTATGACAATACAGTTCTCTTTTCCCCTTTCTTCCCCAATCAAGTTTCCATGGGTTTACTTATGTTATTTTACAACACATAAATCTTAACTTTCTCTTTCCTACTCAAAAGGTAAAAGAAAATAAAAGACCACTTTTCACAAATTTTCTCCTTGTGATACAACGAATTAAGATCACTAGGAAACATAGGGAGTAATTTTCAAATATGAACAATAAACAATTATCAAATTCTTGTAACTAATAACTAACTAATCTCGACCGTTTTTTTTTTATATTTAAATAACTAAAAAAATAATTTAATTAGTAAAGAAATAAAATAATAGACAAATTACTATATAAAATGTTATTAAGTATGAGATTAAGAGCCTTTAATAAAAGAATGAGAACAGGAACTTCTCTTAATTGTTAATTGCAACCCTTCACTAAGTAATCTAGAAATTTTTATAATTTTTTTTTGTAAGGATTCAGAATATAATTCTGTATTTTTAAAGAATATATAGGCTCCATTCGTTTTTGCTGTACTCATTTCCATTTTGGGTCGTTCTTTTTTGTTCTACTCAATATCTTTTTCTGGTCGCTCTATTTTGTTCTACTCGCTTTAATTTTACTATTATTGGCGCCCCTTTTTTTTATTTTTTATTTATTTTTATTTTATCATCTTACGTCTTCAACCACAATAATTGCACCTTTCCATACTCTTTATTTACTTTATTCACCTTTGAAACAAACCCACCTTTTACTTTCTCACACTAAGTCATTATCCTAGTTTATCTTCATTCTTCAATATTTTTGTATGTTACGTATTTATAGTAACCGATTAGAACATAAAAGAACGAAGGGAGTATAATTTCTGGGAGATTATTTAAATATTTGAAAAATCTTGGTAGATTTTAGTGTAAACATTTTTTGGTGTATGAAATCATTTAAAATATTTGAAAAAAAATGAGAGATTAATTGGTGTGGGAGGTTCATGGCTGGGAGTTTGAAATTGTTGTAAAATATTATTTGTTTTGAAATTTTGTAAATAACCACCCCTCAAAATACCTCGTTTAAAAGTCCCTTTTTTCAAATGTCTTAGATTACCATCCATTGTTATAGCCTGGCCAGTTTTCCGACCGTGGAGCCTACACTGGCTAGTTTCATCTTTTTATAAACCCTTTGCCTCATTTTTTTTCCTCACTTCATTTTTACCTACCAATGATCCTAAATTTTTTTTTCAAATATTCAAAAAATTCTCTAAATTCTCCACTTTTTGCAGAAAATCAATGAAATCGAGGCAAATGTTTTTCAAAAAGAAGAAACTAGCCTTTATATAGGCCTTAGGTCGGAAAATTTGTTGGACTCAATCAATGGGTGGTGATATCATTTCAAGGACTGGTAATTTAAAATATTCGAAAAAAGGGGTGGATACTAGGGTGTTTTGAGAGGTGGTTATTTACAAAGTTTCTTATTTTGTTGAAAATATATAAATTTTGGAATAAAATAGGTGTGAATTAAAAAACATTTTGTTACAAAAAAAAAAAAAAAAAAAAAAACATAGAATATGGTTTGAAAATACGATTTTGGTTGTGATTATGGGAATAATTGTGGTGTCACGAGTGTCGGGTGCGGATATGATGCGTTGATCATGGACCGTGTCTCAGTTGTCACGATGCAAATTGTAGCCAATCTCCATAGTGTCATAGTGCTTCATTAAACTTCTTTGTCACTTAGTGCTGGCTGCTGCTCCTTTTTGTCTTGTGTCTCAAGGTGCCTCCTCCTTCGAGTATAAACTTGCATATAGGTGGCTGATTTGGTGGCCAACCAAAGCCCACCAACCCGGTTCATCACAATGGCTATAGCTACTTCGAGGCCTTTTGACTGGAAGCAAACAGGCTTAAACAGGCTCATTTGGGTAGAAATGAGACGAATTCAGATCAGCAGTTAGGGCCCTGCACAGGGGCCATCTTTGAACAATTGGTTAATTTATTATATGAAGGTAAAACCGCTTGGTTGAGGAAGTATAGTCTGAGCTTTTCAGTGATTTATCCCTCATAATTAGGGGCTTGCTTATTAGCTTTGGATGATGTAGATGAGATATTCAGCTCAAGGATTGTTTTTAGTGCTCTCTTAACTGGTCTACAGTATCTAGTTCTTTGATTTTGTTTCATCTTCTAAATCCTTTGTGGTTATTGTTTTTCTGAGCTCATTTGTCATGGCCTTGTGTTATAAATTGAACAACGCTCTTGAAATCTTGGATGGAGGTTACTTTATATTGTGTTAGCATCTGATCTAGATGTTCATATTCCTACATTTTTCCCGCAAAAATCAAATACAAATCCCCTAATTTTTTTTTCCTTTGAAATTCTGATTCTTACTTGCATCAATTGGCTCAAACATGGATAAGTATATGTCTTATGGAGGAAGCAATTATTCCCCAAAGTCTGTGGATGATCCTCAGACACGATGCTCTAGGCATCATTGCTTCTAGTGGTTGTTGATAGGAGATAAGATGTAATGGGTAAGTCAAAGCAACAAATTTTTCGCCTAGAATTATGAGCTAGGCTTGTGTAGCGAAGCTTAATATAATATATGTGCCATTTTGCAAGTCATGGGCTGGGTTGTGCTGTTGACAAATACTAGGCCTAGGCTTGGCCTGTAATCTAGTCAGGAGTGTACTATTTTTATTATTGGGGTATCCACGGTGTAATACCGTTGTATATATTTTTTGTTGGCAAAATTAAGAAAAAAACAATTGTTTTCATTAACCACTACTGTCTGTTGAGTTGAATTGTTAATCTATTAGAGATTTTTTATTTCTTTCATAAACAATACCAGTTTTTAAAGGCACCTTAAAAGTGTTTGCAGAAAGAGAAAGTCTCTATTGACAAGTCTACATAACATCCTTTGTTGTGCTCTACTGTACTTCCAATCTTTTGTGTTAAGGTCTATTCCGCATCCTATAATCTCATCTTTTAATTCTTCAGGTTGCATATGATGATTTCGTTGCTGCTGGTTCACTTGCGGCTGCAAGGGAGAAAGGACTGGTTAGTACATTACTTTGAGCAAGAAATTTAACTTGATGCTTCTTTACATTAATCATTTTTCATAACTAACATGTGAAATACTTGCAATCAAATATACTGAATACCAATAAATTGGTGGTTAATATTTTGCACATCAAAAATGTTATTCAGTTTGAAGATCTATGCACAGACAGCTAGTGATGTAATTTTTCTATAAATTATGTGAACTGATCTAGACAAAAAGTATATTGCCTGCTTTCCTTGACATTATGAGTCTTGTTTCACTAAAGCTCTCATTCTCTCATAATATTTCCTTGGCCTATTCCCCTGTATGGCATCAACTACTAAATAAAACACATATATAATCTCCCTTGATGCTTTCATACAAGTTCCTTTGATTTATGAAACTGACATTATCTTTTCTCCTTATCAATCATCAGACGCTCCAATGGTAGTTCTTGTGCCAGTAAACCTTAAATTTCAATTATTTCTTATTGAAGTAGTTTCATAGCAAATTCTTGTAGCGTAAACTCCATTAGCGCATTTGCTGAGTGTCCATCCTTCCCTTTCTTCGAGCCCTCAGCTTACCCCTTCTCCCAAGGTAGTACTGATACACATGAGCTCAAGCAAACAGACCCACACACATTTGTATATTTGCATTGTATCAAAGCACAGTTTCAAGGGCAGTCAATAATCCTAGTTGAGGACCTTTTTCCCCTTTGATCCAATTTGAACGTGTTGGGCTCCCATCTTTACTATCATGTATTGAGGTCTGTTCTATCCCATAGCATTTGAGTCAATTCCATATGTAATGGAAACTTTATTAGAATACATACCGTGTTCTAGACGAATTGTAATCGATAATAAATGAATACCTATAAATTTGTGCAGTTGTAGGGAGGTTTGTATAGCATGTAACATTCATGTTGATATCTTGCTTCATAGGTTATACTATACCACAACTACAGTGATGTGCTACACTATTACACATCCTGTTCAACTCTCATAGTTTTTTTGGTCCAGTTTTTGCGGGTCAAGTACTTGAAAGTGAGGGGGAAGGGTAAGAGATCCTCTCACTCTCAAGTACTGCAGTTCGAAGAATTCAACCTTGTTACCTCAAGGTTACAAGGTGAATTCTTCACCAACTAAACCAAGCCTTGCTTGGTAATTGATCTTAATCTAGTGATTAAATAGTTTCTCCATCAACATGGTGAAATTGGATTTTATTATAAAATCCTTGATGGTGAGAGACTGAGAGATGTTACTCATTGGTTTATTGCTTTCATGTATTGCAGTTGAGATCTGAAGGGAAGGAATATGTTGTACAAGAAGGAGATGTCATGTTGTTTCGCTTCAATGTTTGATTACAGTATCCCTGGAGCAGAAGGATTTGTTACCTGTCAGTTACAGCAAAAAAAACGACATTGCTGACAAGTTGTACAAGCACATCACTATATTCTTGAACTGTGGGAGCCTGACCTCAAAAGTGAGGAAGATTCATCGAGTAATCACCAAATTTTGTCAAAGAAGCAATTGATTCGTTCATCAGTCTATACTTATTTCATGTATAAAGGCCAGAGATAATTGGATTATTGATCCAAGGAAGATAGAATAATTAAATATAGAATGCTACTAATTTTCTATATCGTATTGCATGCTGAAAGATAGTTTATAAAGAAAAGCAGCATTAAAAAAAAAAAAAAAAGCTAAAAACTATGATTTTAGCCCATAATTCTTGTTCATGAGTCTGTTCACATTTACTGAGCTGAACTGAACTAATTGGAAATGAATTAATTGGAGTTGAATTGAATTGAGCTGAGCTGAAATGAATATTTTATGAGAGGGAAATTAGGAGCTAAACTGAAATGAATTGATTGGAGTTGAATTGAACTGAAAGTACGTAAATGTGAAAAGACCCTTAGTTGGAATAGTGGTTACTCCCTTTGATCCCTTGTGTTCTTTGCATTTTCCAATTAAATTGTTTTTTAAAAAATTATGGTTTCAAAGAAAAAAAGTAAAAAAAAAAATCTAATTTTGATATATTTCTTTTTTCATGTGTATAGTTGAAAAAAATTCTTTTATTTTCTTTTACTTTTTTTTGGTGAATGAGCTAACATTTGTTACATTTTTCATATTTATATTCAGTAAAAATAATTTCAGCTTTAGAAAACAATTTCAGTTTAGTAAAAATAATTTCGATTCTATAAAATTAACATTATAGAAGAATTACAATAGTAAAATGAAAAAAAATTATTTTAGTTCAGCAAAAATAATTTTAGTTCAATAAAAATTGATTTCAGTAAAGTAAAAAAAGTTCAGCAAAAATAAGGTGAAGTTAACAGGGCCTTAGATAAGGGGATAATGTGGAGCGGATTTGCTTGTCTTATTTTTGTAATGTTATTTCTAAAAAGAAATACTTGATTCTACTATAAAAATTATATTGATTTCAAAATTAATTTTATTACTTTGATTGATTCTAAATAATGGGTTACATTCCAACATGATAATTTTGGTATATATATTTTATTATAAGACAAGCAGATCAATGTGCAGCTAACAAGTGTAACTTTATGATTCACTAACATATTTTTTATTAGTTTATTTTTGTAACTAGTTTTGTCCCGTGCGAAGCTCGAGTTGTTAATTGAATTTTAAGATAAAACTTTTTATCTAAAACATATATGTTATTTGAATTTTCTACTCATGGATTAATAATCCCATTTGACAATCCTACTTGTAAAATAAAAACTCTACTAAATACCGCGTGGTTATAAGAAAGAGTTGGGTTGGTAGTTCTTGAAAGTGACGCAAGTAGCATGGTTAGAGTAATTAGAAAAAATCAGTTTGAAGTTGCACTTATTTTCATATTATTGGAGAAAGTTTAAAAATAAGCTGTGATTTTAATGTCTTTAATTTTAGCTAGATGGGAGATCTATATGAATTAATAATTATTATGTATGATTTCCTCCAAAGCCTTCAAATAACACTAATCGAGTAATCCCTATAACACTGACAAAATAATTCTTGTAACACTGGCCAAGTAACACTAAATAATCCTTGTAACATTGACCGAGCAACCTCTTTAACACTGACAAAGTAACCCCTGTTTCGGGGATTTTGTCCCTTGGAAGAGTTACAACACTAAGACTGGATTCAGCAAAGGACGCCTGTACCTGCAAAGCAAACGGACTGCCGGTTGGTCAGTGGTCCGCCTCCGAAGATTAAGTTAGTAAGTATTCGGAGTAAACGTGCGGAAATAAAGTTATCTGTTCGGATTCCAAGCTCAGGTAAGGTGTTGTCTGTTTCCGGAAAACGAAAGCTCTGTAATAAATGTGAAAGTGACGTGTTGTCTCGTATTCAGTGTATTCCTCCCATAAATGCAGGAACTGTCCCTATTTATAGGGTCTTTTTGAAAAGTGTGCCCTCCTTAAGATCTGGTGACCTAGGGATTAGGTCACGCCGTAAAACGGCGCCTCAAGGTTCGGGCCCTTGAAGGCCGCCATTCTAGAAGTAATGTCTGAGTGACACGTGTCACTGAGCCCAAAAGGCTTTTGGGCATCTCTTAAGGTGACACGTGTCGCCCTCTTAATGGTCCATGCTGGATCATCAATCATCCCAGAACGGAGGAATGTCTGCCTACCACGTGTCACCATCTCAAAGGTCCAGGTGGCACCTCTACCAATGACACGTGGCGGCTTCTGATTGGGCCACCTGGCCGGGTATAAAAATACCCAAATCATTTGCCCCTCACAGGGGTCATGCGCATTGCACATGACACCTGTGACAGGTGTCAACATCCGACTGGCCGGATTTTCAAATTATATTTTTGGGGGAAAAATTAGGGTTTACCCCTTCTATAAATAGAAGGGTTTGACCCTCCTTTTGTTTTCACACCTTTGCGAATCTTGGAGAATCTTTAGACTTTTGACTTTCAAAGACTCTCAAAGACTTAAACTTATCAAGCATCCGGCGCTCGGCTTTCAGTCCGTCTGTTTCAGCAACCCAGGCGTCTCATAGTACCTTCTTCTAAGGTAACGCCTGCTTTCCTTTTTTACTTATTTTTTCTTGCATTTTTTACTTTATCAAATGGTTTCCCAAACGCACACGGCACGGCTTAGGTTAGCGATCAGCCGGTCACCGGGGACGGCTGAATCTAGAACTAGGAGTGCCGAATTCTCGTTCGAGAACTTTCCTTTAAGTACATCTCCAAATCCGACAGTATCTGTGCATCTGCAGGACACGATGGCCAGAACAAAGCAGACAACGAGGAGATATAGGGCGAATGGTTCCTTTTACCATTCGGACAGTGAGACTATCAACTCTGATGGCTCCATTAGGGTGCTTGCTAGTGAAATTTCTGAGAACCCCCCAAACCCTTCTTCTGACCTTCCCCAAACTCCAACTTATTACTCTTCCCCTTCTTCAAGCGGCATCCCCAGTGATACTATACTGCGGGAAGCCGACAGTCAATACCAGGCCGAGCCTTCAGAACAGGCGTCGGAGGAGAGTCTAGGGGAGGAACCTCTTGGCCCCAGCCGACAGTCCCCTAGCTCTAGGGAGAGCTCTGATGACGATTTGGCCTCGTCATCTTCTGAAAATGCCTCCGTTACTTCAGAGGAGGCCAGAGCAAAGATAAGCACTACAAGGGAATCCTTGTTAGTGGAAAAGGGGGAAGGTTGGGCGGAGCCGAGTGCTTCTAGGCGCTTGGAACGTGCCCCCTACTATCACCATGTCCCGCAAAGTAAGCGGACTTCTATGATATTCGGTCTTGCCAATTTGAAGCGCAAGACTGCAATGGGTCATGGCTTTTCCTTGTCCGTTCCCAACAAGGATGATATGATAACCTGGCCGACCTTGGCCAGCTATAAGGACCAAGCATTCGGCTGCTACGAGGCGGTCCTCCAGGCTGGTCTACGCTTCCCTCTCCATCCGGCCGTGAGAGAATACTGGACGGATACAAACTGGGTATCTGGTAACTTGTCCCGAATTCATGGATTAATATCATCAGGTACGTTGCCGCATGTGAAATGCTGGAGGTGGATCCCAGCTTTGAGGCATTCGCCCACATGCATTATCTCAGCCGAGCGCCTGTTAAGGGCGGCGAAGGCTGGTACACCTTGTCCACCTGGAAGGGGTACATGATGGCAGTCGGCAAGGAGAACAAGTGGAAGGACTGGAGAACAAAGTTCTACATAGTCCATTCCTCTGATAGCCGACTGAACCAGAAATACAATAGGTGGAACAAGGATCCGCCCCTCCTGGCTGGCAAGAGTGCCTTGCCCCCTCTCCCTAGGCGGGCCCCGGAGGAAATTTTTGATCGGGGTTTGTTCAAAGTGTCCGTTCGGACAAATGAGCAGGGGGAGAAAATAGTCGTCCCCCAGAGCTACATTCCCCTTTACAAGTGGCTGGAAGATGGGGTGTTCTTGGCCGCTTTGGGCTAAGCTCTAAGATGCCGAGAGGTAGTCGGCCGTCTGATTTTATACAACCTTTAAATTGCTTTTCAATGTTTGTTTATAAAGTCTAACTCCTGATTTTGGTGCAGACAAAGATATGGAAAAGGTCTCGGCAACAAGGAAGCTGACTGCTATCTCTGCAGCAAAATATCGCTCGAACGTCCTTAATCGAGCGAGTGACGAGCAGAAAACAGTCGGGACTCCTAAGGTAGCTGTTTATAACACTTGGTATATTTTTCAACAAAGGTTAATTTTTTCCCGCCTGTTTTTCTGACGCCTTTCTTTTTGCTAATGTAGAGTGGTTCCACTAGGCCCTCTCCCTCCAAGAAATCCCAACCCAAAATCCAGAAGACTGGGGCTGGTGATGTGAGTGCATCCGGCGAGAACCGGAAGCACATTGCTCACAAGCCCAAGAAAGGGGACGACTCTACTCTCGAAGCTGACAGGGAGGTCAGCAAACCGGATGCTACTCAGGCATCGAAGGGTGGCTTTAAGCAACCCACTACTGCTGTTAGCTCAGCTAGAGAGAAAATGCGTCATGGGAAGGAGGAGGAGGTTCAAACGGACGGTATAAACCGCATCTTCATTGAATTTCAACATCAAGATAGTTTCTTAGAATTTTCTTGACTAACTTAATTTTGCATCTCCTGTGCAAAGGCCGACTGTCGTCCAGATGGCCAAGGAGATGCTGAGGGCGCTTGATCTAGAGGACAAGGCGTCCGTGAGAGGAGTCGGCACCCTTAACTTGGATGCCATCTTGGGGAACCTCTGTGAGGTAAAAAGTTAGCTTAATTTTCTTATTGTTTAAGCACATATCCGATTGGTCTTGACCATTCGACTCTTTTCTCATTTTCAGGCTATGCTGCGCATCCAGGGGCTAAGAAGGCCAATCCAGGAGAAGTCCAAAGAGGTAACAACCGCTAAAGCTCGAGTCGAGTCCACCTTAGACCGAGCTCAATTTGAAATTTCTCAGAATGAGCTAGTGACCCTTGATATGATGTATTCCTAGGCGGATGCCAACCTGCAGGTAAAGAAGGACCTGGATTCGGCTCGCTCCAAAATCATTGACCTTAAGGCCGAAATTAAAGGTCTTAAGGAAAAGCTTGAGCCTCTTCAAGAGGCCAAGAAAGAGGCCGAGAGGGCCAAGGAGCGGGTTGGCCGCCTGGAGGTGCGCCTGGCGAACCAGGAGA